CACACGAACAGGCCAACACACAGTCCCTCTCCCCTCGCATGGAAATGACACTCGGAAAGCACATGAAGGGAAGTATCTCATGTCTGACTGCTAAGCTGCAGGGTCAAACCTCCCACTGAAAGTCAATTATTCCATGATTCTGTGATATGGGGATTGAATATAATGACAGAGGTTATGGAACTTAAGCTTTACCAGGTAGAAGAGTTATTCAGATAAACTTCTGTATTCAGTGAAAGGGAGGAGCAGGCCTTCTCAGGACCTCTCTCATTCTTTGACCAAACAGAAGAAATAAAGGTAGGGAGGAGACATTTAGAGAGAGATTCAAATATTTCTGAATGTCAAAAAAACCTAACGTTTAGGGGAATCGAACAGGTGTATTTGGATAACAAACATTTAAGCCACATCTTTAGATAGAAAATGAAGTAGGAATTTATGCTGATGCTATCACAGCTTGCCTTTTATCCTCACCTTCTTGTGTTTAAGTTGCTTTTAAGTTGGGAAAAAAAATAGCATAAAAGGCTAATTGCTATGTACACGTCTGAATTTCTGGGACATGTAAAACTATAATAATATCATACAAGGTTAAAAAAAGATAAAAATATGTTTAATCACATTTTCATTTTCATCTGTGTTTTATTTTAGTAGATCAAGTCAAACTCAAAAGACTTCATACTACTTCTATCTTTCTCTTCAGTCCTTATAGCATAAGCACTGCTGCTACTGAAAAGCCACAGGGAAGTTAAAGAAAGGACACAGCAAGTCCTCTACTTGTATTTATGAAATACGAGGACAAATCTTCATGTTACAGTCATACAGTCATACTTGAACCTCCTACTGCAAAGTCATTACCTTCATCTAGTTTATATTTTTAAAATTCAATTCAGCACTATCTATGTATCTATATGAGAAGTATATATATTTAAAGACTATCTATCTGGGAAGGGCTTTGTGCACAGACACAAAAGCACATGAATACAAGACTAACACTAATATTAAAGAATGCTTTTGTATAAGAGTCTCCTTCAGAGGTGGAACATTCTTGCAAAATGTTCCTGCACTTAAACTTGACATCAAATTATTCATCCAGGAAGCAAAAATTTAAAAACCAGTGGTGTCTAGCTTTGAGGTATACGATACTTAAAAGATGAAACAAAAGTTGCTGGTTTGTGAATTCTCTGAGCTGTTACAAAAAACCCTTCTGTTAATATATACATACGTATTTTGAAATACTGATACAAGCTTTTACTTAGGCTACATGATGTTCATAATAATTTTAAATGCTCTCGCTCAAAATCTTTAGATTTCTTTCAGAGCATGCAGTGGTGGTGCATGACAATACATTCCTCACATCCAGGATTCCTGGCAGTTAGTACAGAACTGACCTAACCTACTGCGCGGTATCATAAAATCACAGAATGGCTTGGGTCGGAAGGGACCTCTAAAGATCATTTACTTCCACCCCTCCTGCCATGGGCAGGGATATCTTTCACTAGATCGGGTTGCTCAGAGCCCCGTTGAACCTGACCTTGAACACTTCCAGTGATGGGGCATCCACAGCTTCTCTGGGCAACTGTCACAATGTCTCACCATCCTCATTGTAAAATATTTCTTCTTGATATCTAATCTAAATCTACCCTCTTTTAGTTTAAAACCATTGTCCCTTGCCCTGTCACTACAGGCCTGGGTAAAAAGGCCTCTCTTCGTCTTTCTTATATCTACTAACTTTCAGTAGCAGTAATAACAGCTTTGGGCAGACTGTCAAGAGCAAAAGAGTTTAAATTGTTTCAAAATGCATTCAGAGGAATTGAAGAAGTATTTTTAAGAAAAGAGATCACGCACTGTAGAGTGTGTTTCCATAATGGTACTGTTTAAATGATAGAAGTTTTGACAAAACAAGTCTCAGCCAAATGAAGGCCCATGACCTTACCTCCCATCTAGTCGTCAGTGCAGAGAATACACTGTATCCGGATGACCTTTAACATACTTCAGTATCCTTACAGTACTTCAACATTTTTAATATTTCCATACCTGTTTTCATGCCAAAGTTACTCATTCATTTATCCAAGACAACTCTGAATGCTCAGTAAAGAATAATAACAGAGTGCATATGTTTTATGGGGCCTCCATCTCCCTATAAAATAAATGGAAACCCTTCTGCCATTTTGCTGCTTAACCTGAAACAAGCAGCCAAGCATCTGGTGGGAAATAAACTGAACATCCAATCTTTTAGCAAGACAAAAGGAGCGCTTCCATATTCCCACTTGACAGAACCATTTGTACTGTGAATACAGATGGAAGCTTGCTAACACCTCTGAAATGTTGTTTTGTCAGGTACGGTATGGAGATTATTATTTGTACTAAGTACTTTTTTCTCTCCGGTTCTTGTGACATAGAGGCAGCGTAACATAATATGAACAAGGAATTAGAGTGACTGGCAACAGGACCAGACTGTCCACCCAACCTGTATGAGCTACGCTGGTCTAAGTAGGAAAAGTTGGGTTTTGAATGACAATAGTGAAGATGGATAACATCACTGTGGTTCTCATGGGATTAAGACAAAACATCAATAGGTTCCAGACATTAAATGTTTCCATCAATATTTTTCTCTCAATAGTAGAGTACACAATTTTGCAACTGTTCCACTACTTTACAAATTCTCTTACAGTGTATATGTGATGGGCCTGTCCATAGTGATATGGAAGTAGACAGACAATTAATTTCATCATTATCTTTCTTCTTGCATGTTCACAAATAATAGAGGACTCTACTGAAAAGCAGGCAGAAACTAAGCTAAAGCATGTGAATACGGTTGTACACCTCCTTCCTTATAAGCTAATGTCAGATAAAATTTTTATTCACCTATACTTGCATAAGAAATGAAGTGTACCATTTCCATTTTGTTCATAAAGTACATTTGCAATGTAAAATACAGCACAGTTCTAAATGCCTCCCAAACCCATTTAGACATTAGTTTAAACTTCTCATAATATTTTCATTTATGAGTATGTGATCATAGCGAAAAAAACATGGATCTGGAGCTCTTGGAGCATCAGAGTTATTCTTTACCTCTTGCTGGCATGCTTGCAGTGTACCATGTCTCCTAATTTCAACCTCCCTACACCTTCCATTCAACAGAAATGAGGACATTTTTCACGACCCTAACTAAACTGGACAACACTAAAGACTGAGTGTTTACAATGCTCCAGTTTGTTTTCTTTGAACCATTCTTCATGAAAACCGTGATGCTGTTAGGTAACGACTAACTACAATATTTTCATATGCTTATACAAATATGCACTATATAAAATTAAAGAAAATATGAAAAGACTGTGATTGTTGTAAATTCGATTCTTGATAGATACAAAACTAATAATGAATGAGTTCTTTGCCATGGGCTATACTCACATCAGCATAATGCCCCTTCATATCACAGCGATTGCAGTGTTTATTCCAATAGGCTCTCTCAAGACATTCCCTGAAATAGTGGCCAGGCAAACAGCAGTTCAAACAAAAACGTGCTGGGCAACTGTTTTGTAGATGACCTCTTCCTGCACACAGGCAACAAGGGGGAACTTTCTATGGAGAAATAAAAAAATAATTATGTTAAGTGAGAATGTTGCAAAAGATTAAAGAAAAGAAAAAAAAAATCAAAAGAGGAAATGAAGAAGAAACCACCCCAAATAAATGTCTACTGCTTACTAGGGATTGCAGAGATGTTATGTTTCATTGAGGAATTGAAGTGAAGGAAGACTATGAATAGAGTAAAACTCAAAGTTGTAACTCCATAGACTCCCTGTATTTTCTTGATTTGGACCTTGCATCAGAAGCACTTGTTAAACGCTTAGAGCCGATGTTATTTGCTCCATGAATACAGCAAAAATAGTCATTAAACTGGAAAGTATATTTCACTTGGAGCAGAAGTGTTGGGCACTCTGTATGAACATATTTCTAACAAAATTTCTTAAAAGCTGAAAAACAGAACTCTATCACAGGAACATGATGTATAGTATGTAACACAACATATTGGACTGGTTTGTAAATATGGTCTCTGCCATAGACCGCTACACTAAGTCTGGCTGGGATGGGGTTAATTTTCTTCACAGCAGCCATATGGGGCTGTGTTTTAGATAATACACAAACATTTAGCTATTGCTTAAGGCTTTCTCTTTTTCCCAGCCTGACCCCCAGTGAGTAGCCTGGGGGTGGGCAAGAGGCTGGTGGGGGACAGAGCCGGATAGCTGACCCCAACTGACCAAAGGGATATCTGTACCGTACGGCATCGGGCTCAGCAACAGAGCTGGGGGGATGGAGGTTTTCCACAGCAGCTGTTGATGGGGGACTGGCTGGGCATAGGTCTGCTGTGGTGAGTGATTGCTTTTGCATCACTGGGGTTTTTCTTCATTTACTCTACTGTCTTTATCTCGACCCATGAGTTTTTCTTGCTTTTGCCCTTCCAATTCTCTCCCCCACCCCACAAGGGGTGGGTAAGTGAGTGGCTGGGTGGGGGCTTAGCCGCCAGCTGGGGTCAGCCCACAACAACCACTTGGCTACATGCCTCGTGACTCACACAAATAAGCACATGGACTGACAAATATAAAACGTGGAATGCTATTCTAGGGCCATAGCTGTATCTCTTTAAAGCCAGTGTTCCCAGTGAGTTGAGTGTATCTTCACTCCAAGGGCTTACGTTTCAGCTGGGTGGGATGGAGTCACTCAAAGTCTCAGTGTGGGTAACAGCCTCAGGGACTGAGGTTTTTGCAGACTTTGTTGTGGGGACTGGTAAATCCAGACCTTCATGCAACTGCCCCCACTTCTTCACAGTGTAGTGACTGATTTTTAAACCTCTAACCCCTGGACAAACTTTCTGAATATCTGGCACCTATCTGAGCTGCTTAAAGTTATTTCCAATTTCATCTTGCCTATAATTTTTAACATTATTCAAATCATGTTTCATTATATAGATATCTGCTTTCATTCATTTACTAAGGGTGATTTTTGGATTCCTTATGTTCTCCTTATTGAAAATACATTTGAAAAACATTTTCCATCTCAAAACTAGTTTTACAATATGAAAAAATGTTTCTATATTGTACTTGACTCTCTTTTTGCTCAGTTTATACTAACAGATATTTTCCTTTAGAAAAACAATAAAAGCAACGACCTCCACAAAACAGACAGCTAATTTTATATAGTAAACTGATCTTGTACAAGCTATCCCTCAACCTGGAGCAACCTTTCAGTGAAATAATAAACCACTGAGGCAATACTTTTAATGGCAAGCACAGAAGAGTATTAGAAGCAACAGCTGCATCTACAAGTAATTGAGTGTTGCATTTACCTTTGGAGTAGGACAGTTCTTGGACAAATGACCTGGTCTACTGCAATTTCTACAGGTAACATTTTTATCAGCTGTGTAGTACCGCATACTGGTATGCCTCACACTTGCATAGTTGGAGATCTGTGCCTGAGGATACAAGAAAAGAAAAATGTATTTACCATTTGAGATTCTGTGTTTTAGTGTTTGTTAAAAGTGGAAATTTGTAAAGGTCACTGCTGGTAGTGTTCAGTTAAAAATCTAACTTTTTACAAGTACAGTTTACATATCCAGGTTTGAACTGGATAATTCTGTTATAGAGAAACTTGCATTGTCTAGAAGAAAAGTATTGTCTTGTTCAAACTTCCACTTCAGGACATTCTTTTTTGCTGTTTAAAATTGCAGTTATGAAGTTTTGCTTTCCCTTGATTAGTCAAGACACTTTTACTCACTATGCTATTCATGACGAACTGGAATTTTTCCCAGAATACAAATATAACTAACATTAATTGCAAATGCAAGTTACACGTTCCCTTGCACACATTAAGGGAAACTTTTTGGGCAAAGTACAATGCTATACAAGTCTAGACCAAATCTGCAATTTGCAATTGTAAAGGAAGATTTAAAAAAGAAAAAGAAGAAAAAAGAGAAGCTGGAAACAACTCTCTCTCTCCCAGTAACCTCACATATACTTTCTGCATAGGCAGACAGAATTGAAAATCCTATCTTCAACCTTTATTGCTTAGTAAACCACAATTTTTAAAAACTGAAATAAAAATTTTAACAAGTGAACGGGAGAGGGATAAAAATACCATTTCTCTTAAG